TGAAAAGCCTGGGTGTAAAAGAGTCACTGACCATGCAGCCATATCTCCCAAATCTATTCATAAAGTCAGTCTACCTGGGAGCTACTCCTACATAAAAAGCCGTCCTCTGATCGCATTTCTTCATGGCCTCATTTAATTCCCAGAATACTCTGTGACACTGTTGTTACTACTATTCTCATGTTTTCAGATTGAGACACTAAGGATTATTTTGGAAAGTTCAATGGCAAGCCTCAGATCACTGACTGTAAAAGTCATAGAACTGAGACCAGCAGCTTGAGCTGTCAATCACTGCCGCTGAGCTGCTTTTGAAGACATTTAATGTCAGGTCACAAATCATGTCCTGCATTTTGTTACAGAGGATTAATACCATTGTTACTAAGGTTTTCCAGGCAAGGTCCCACTCCATAGGTTAAACTGACCTTAGACTTTTCAACTTTCCTGGCTTTGCCTAGCTAACACTGAGATTATAGGTGTGAGCCAACGATAAGTCTTTTAGTTGCCTAATAATTATATTAACTTTAGCTTTACAGACCTTACAGAGGGTCTGGGGCAGTGACTTAAAATATCCAATTAGTCCTTAAGAACTTGTATCCATAAGGTGGTGTATACCTACCTGTAATATCCAAAACTCTGGAGGGGAAAACTGAAGGATTCAGAGTTTGAGGTCACCCTGAGCTGCAGAGGACAAGACACTGTCCAGGAAGAGGGAGAAAATTCTCTGTATTAGTACAGAGAAAAATACCCAGGTTGTCAGTCATGAGACTTGTTTCCTCAGCTTTCTCAAGCTTAATGGAATTATTATAAAAATTAAATATAGTGATATCACTTAAAACTGACACCAAATACTAAAAGTGTTAAATATGACTAGAACTACATGGACTTCTAGAGGGAGAATTGTCTAATTGTGAGAGTTGCCATCTACAACGGTTTTAGGATTTTTTTTTACTTTCCCTGGTTATTTTCCTGTTTTGTCTTTATTAATCCTGTTTATTAAATCAGCACTTGAACTGCCCAAATGATCCAATGAGGATTAATTTAGAATGAAGAATATATATTTATACAGCATAATTATAATTAGAAATTTGAATTTTATAATTATCTAGAATTTGAAATATGTTATGAAAATTATTAAGATACAAATGAGATGACTTGGATAGGAAGCCAGATGGCTATGTGTGAACTGTGTAGAGATCCAGTTCTCCCAGATGGCTGTGTGTGAACTGTGTAGAGATCCAGCTCTCCCAGATGGCTGTGTGTGAACTGTGTAGAGATCCAGCTCTCCCAGACGGCTGTGTGTGAACTGTGTAGAGATCCAGCTCTCCCAGACGGCTGTGTGTGAACTGTGTAGAGATCCAGTTCTCCCAGACAGCTGTGTGTGAACTGTGTAGAGATCCAGCTCTCCCAGATGGCTGTGTGTGAACTGTGTAGAGATCCAGCTCTCCCAGATGGCTGTGTGTGAACTGTGTAGAGATCTAGTTCTCCCAGATGGCTGTGTGTGAACTGTGTAGAGATCCAGTTCTCCCAGATGGCTGTGTGTAAACTGTGTAGAGATCCAGTTCTCCCAGGGCTGCTGCAGTGTCTCAGAGCAGCTGAGCTTGACTTTGGCGTCTCTGCTTATAAGATGGAGCAGCTTGCACTTTTCCCAATATCTATCTGGCAAAAGACAAATGCTGCAAACCTTGTCTTTATGGTATTTTATTTGACAACAAGAATAAATTATCAAAAAAATGTTCTCCTAAAGCCAAATTCTAGGTCTCAGTGGGTTGTGAGAATCCCCTCTCTCAGGGAGAAGTTGGCTACATTTTAAACCTTGTGCATCACCAACTCATAAAATGCACTGAATTAAGAAATGGCAGTGAGATTCGTGGTGATGTGGCAAAATACATCAACAGAGTTTATCAGAAACCATACATTTGGAAGAAATACAGCAGTTTAGTTCCCAAGTAAAATGAAACAAGAATGTCCACACAAATGACCTTTGGCCAAACAAGCTGAAGTTTGGCTAAAGTAAGAAACTATGTAATCAACTGCAGTTCTCCACTGATCCACAAGTAAGAAGCACAGAACAACTTGAGCAATTCTGCATTCCGCCCACTTTAGACAAGAGTGGCTTCAGAATGCACTCATGGCCTGCCCTGCTTCCTCATTCCTCCCAAACCACCGTGAGGTGGGGATGATGCCAGATTTTAGTTAAGACAAATAATACATTAAGGATTCTAACGAGTCTTCACTTGGACCAATATTTATAACTAATGTTTTTATCTTACCTTTAACTTTGTCAATAATTTTATTTTCCAAATAATGCCATTAAACTTTCTTTGTCTAAGTTCATGGGACTTTATTTGCCAAATTATATTTCATGTAAAATTCAGTGAAAAGGTCTACGTATTTTAAGCAACTCAACAAACTACCCTTCTGTTATGCATTCAATGCCTCTTTTATTAGTTTAAAGGGAATATGAATTTTAATGAAAATACATCTATTTTAAGGAAATACATTTAGTATTTTCAGATCTGGACTTCTTTCCCTGTAAGCTAATGCAGGCTATAAACAGAAAGTGATTAATAGTAGAGATGACTGCAGATAATGTATTTTGTAGTACTTTATTTAGAAATAAAAATTAGCCAGGCATGATGGTCTCTTGTCATATAAATAAATCCAGCATTTCAGAGGCTGAGAAAGAAGAATTATAGTGACTTAGAGGCTATCCTTGGCTACATAGTGAATTTCAAGAAAGCCTAGTAAGATTCTCTAACAAATATATATAAATATATATATATATATATATATATATATATATATATATATATCTCAAGACACACACCAATGAGTACAAGAAAATATACAGCAATGTTAATCGCATGATTTTTGATATTTCCATACCTACTTACATGTTTGTCACACTGAATTAGCCAAATATTAGCAGTATAGATGTCAAGAAGAAAATCTATTCATACCTAAATATACTTATACAAAGTAATTTCCATTTTCTAAAGGTAACTATTAAAACATTGTTGTAAAATCATATCATACATGCTATATCTGTTATGCAGTAAAGTAATGGAAAGAGGACAGAGTAGTGAATACTATTGTAATTGAGTCAGTAATAATAATTAAGTTTAATCTTAGCCAGGTAAAAATCAAGAATTCGCATGGCTGTCAGTTTCTAATGTATTTTTATATTTTGTTCTCTTTTGTTTGGTCTGATTTTTGAGACTTGGTCTCATACTGCCTAGACTAGTAGCTGTGAATACATGGACTCATCATGGACTCATCTGATGCTTTGGTCTTTGCCTCCCAAGTATTTGGGGCTAAAAATATATACTTAGATGAATATATTATTTAAAAGGACTTAGATTCTTCCTTCCAAATGATACCATCAAAATTCACATAATAAATCATACATATACTTAGAAAAGTGTATGATCTAGCAGAATTGCTATTATATAAGCCTGGTAATCTGAATTTGATCCATCCCTAGTACCCACTCAAGGTGGAAGGAGAATTCTGAATAGAGTTGTCCTCTGACTTTCACACATAGGCTGTGCACATACCCTTCATCCCAATTTCACATGCATGATAATAAACTAAAAAATAATGTTAATATGGAGAACATGGACTTTTCATTGCATTAAGAAATATCAAGAGCTTTAAGCTGGGTAAGGAGAAAGGGGGGCTTTCATGAGGATATAAATGTAACCATTTTAAAGAATACCTTAAAAGGGCATGCTTTCTGTTTGCTATCTGTTAATTTTCTGCACCATGCAAGTGTACTTGGAGTCAGTCAGCAATACAGGTAATCTCTGGAAGCTTCACAGCAGACACATGTGACAGCAATTATCTGCCCTCCTTGTGTGCTAATGCGTAAATGATCACATTCCTCATTAGAGCAACAGCCACAAGGCTTTGCATTTCTGGTTAATGCACTGACCTGCTAAGCTCGGGCCTCCTTTCCTTTTCACAAGGTAGGTAAATTTACAAGGTCCCAAACAATTGTATTACCTGCAAGGTGCCAATTCTCACGTGTGTGCCATTAGAATGAGGTAAGCACACACTAGCAGCTTCCCATACCATTCACTTTCAGCTGGAAAAGCACGGACTAAAATGCTCTACCTCAAAATCAGGAACAAGAAGATAGAAAATGTGACTGAGTTATGAAAAAAATAAAATAAAAAACAAAAGCTAACGTATCTCCCAAAGAAGATACTCCAATGGAGATGAGGACACTTTTTAGTTCATAAGAACCAGTAGAAACCAAGTTCATAAGTACTTAAGAATTTACTGTTGCTGAAGGAATAGGTTCTTTCCTCTTGTTTCAACTCGTCTGACTTTCAATGATGCAGAAGCTGGTTGTGCAGTACACTACAGATGCTATTAAAAAAAAACACCCCCACCAGTCACTATTTGATGTTGTAGCTAAAGGAAAAACTATCAAAGATCAAAAACATAGAGATGGTTAGTATGTCTATTAGAAAAGGCATTGATTTGGGGAGTGACACAGGAACAAGAGAAACATTTGTAGGTCCAGTCCTAAGAAACATGGCAGGTACAAGCAGGGAGAGTAAACTGTGACAGAGCAGAGTTTGAGAGTTTGATGACACCGGGTTAAAAGCAGCTTGTGCTGTGTTGGGGAACCTGAACATGTCTCACCATCAGTGGACAGGACAAGTAGGGCCTTTAAAACTGACAAGCAGCAAAATCAGATCCAACATCCAGCCATCGCTGTGGAAGAAGATGCACCTGAGTACTCTATACTATATCCTATATATACTATGTTTCAAAGCTAATGCTACTAACATTTGTCAGGTTAGAGCTAATGGGAACAAAAGTAAAGTTAGCAGCATAAATATTTCCTGTCCCTGGGATGCTTGTGTGCTACTTCTCTGGTACTGCTTCCTTAACTCCCTTGAAATTTCACATCATTTTTCTCTGAAAAAGAATTTTTTAAAACAGTTTTGCTGTGTTAATTTCACGAAAATTTTGTAAGAGACGTTCCATACCTGAGACACTTTGCCTGTTGGAATCTGAGTCCCCATTACTGGAATTAGAATTATTGGAAGAATTGTTGTCAACCCCTCCCAGAAGGGGGCGCAAGTGGCTTACTGAGACTTGTTCAATGAAGGACGTTCCATACTTTCGGAAATACCACCATTCAAATATCTAGAACAGAAAAAGAATGTGTATTTATTACCTCAGTTTCTACTTGTAATTTCAGGACACATTCCCTTAATATATGTTTACTGTTTCTGTCCACCTTTGAAAAACGTTTAAATTGGTCTAACTGTAATAAATTTCGGTAATTAAACACCAATATCATTTAGTTAAAATGGGTTTCCTCTGCTGAAGAGTGTTTTTTTTTTTTAAAAAAAAAAAAAAAGAATAAATACTGCGATAGATAAAAGAATATTAAGGTATATTCCAAGTTATTTTTCTTAAAGTTAATATAATATTTAAATAACAAAAACATCCTAGCTGAAAGGCAAATCTAGAAATACATATGAATACCAGTTTTCTGAAAATATACCTTATGAAATGTTAAATAATTCTTGACATTTTATATCTTTGTAAAATCATACCCACAATTTTAAGTAATTTTAAATAAGATTTTTAAGTGAAAAATATTTTAACTATAAAAGTATGACTTATTTCAAGAAATGAGACAAAGAAAAGAATGGGGGCAGTGAGACCTAGAGCATGCTGCTTGAGAGACTGAGGTAGGAGGATCACTGGAGCACCGGAGTTCACAGCCGACCTGAGGAACATGGTGATATCTAGTCTTAGAAAAGTAAACAAAAAATAGTGGTCATTCCATACACGGATGGCACTCGGGTCCTGAAACTTCGCAGTGCCTTCCTGCTAAGGGCAGCACAACAAGCATTCGCTGTGTGATCGCTTACTGATTCTTATGTCCTCTCAATTCCAAAAGAAAACAGGAATAACTTTCCTTAATAAAGTATGACTAGCTGAAGGCAGAGCTCCCTGAGCCTGGCAAAGTCAGCTCCTCCTCATGCCCACAGCCACCATGTCCACCTCCCCGTGTCCACAGCCTCAGCCGCCGTGCCCACCTCCCCGTGTCCACAGCCGCCGTGCCCACCTCCCCGTGTCCACAGCCGCCGTGCCCACCTCCCCGTGTCCACAGCCGCCGTGCCCACCTCCCCGTGTCCACAGCCACAGCCGCCGTGTCCACCTTCCCATGTCCGCAGCTGCCGTGCCCACCTCCCCGTGTCCGCAGCCGCCGTGCCCACCTCCCCGTGTCCACAGCCGCCGTGCCCACCTCCCCGTGTCCACAGCCGCCGTGCCCACCTCCCCGTGTCCGCAGCCGCTGCTTCCTACCACTATTCCATATTGCTCTACCCATCCTTTCCTCCCTACCCCATCTAATTACAATTTGCTCTTCCCAGTCATCCAGCATTCAAGAGAAGGGATTTACGAATAGCTACTAGCAAAACAAGGTGCCCTGGGCCTTAATTGCAGCCCTCATTCAGGAGGCTGAGGTAAGCCTGTCATGAGTTCAAGAACAGTGAGACCCTGACTCAAACAAGCAAAAGGCCAAGTATGGTGACTCACATGTATAACTTCAGTGATAAATAGAGAGGCTGGGCCAAGAGGACTGCCAAGAGTCCCAGGACAGCTTGGCTATAGAGAGGAAAAAAATAAAACAAACCAGCAGAAAACAGAATAACTACATACCCGGGTCTAAAAGGATAGCAGTACTGTTCTTTATAATATGCAATCTATAATCAACATAGAATTATTTAAGTTTATGTCCTTCATTATTTCATAAGAAAGTTTCATTATATCCACTGGAATGGACATTGGGCTATTATTTAAAAACTGATATTTTCCTCTTATTTTCTGCTCTATTTAAAACAATAGGAAAGGCATCTGTGAATATAAAAAGGAAATTATCAGCCAAATCTAACGTTCCCAGTCATATGTGGGATACCTTGATTTAATTGCATTGAATTACTTCTAACATTGCAATGTTTAAGGAGAATATAGTTTAAAAGTTACATGGACATGGAAGAAAGGTAAATGTTGGGGAGCATGAGGGCCCTCATGCCCACAGATCTCCAGGGAAACCAGGCATGTTAAGCATGTTGTCCTCGCAATGGAAATGATATAAAACCTGTTTTCCCTCCGGAAAGCTGGCAATGGAGGTGACTAACATCCTGACGATCTGTGTTTTCTGGAGGGGCAGGCCATATCCAGTTCCTGGGAACGGAGGTGACTAGTAGTCTAAATGACCCTAATATCATCTGCATATCCAGGGGCTCTCCCAAACTCCTAAAACCCAAATGACCTCTATGCTATCTGTATGACCTAGACCATGCCAGATCCTTCCCTAGGCCCTTAAGCTAACAATACAGGGAGTCTATCTTGAGAACCCATCTTCTTGGAAGAAATGGCATGCTACTTGAGCTGAGTTTCAATGTAATTATGCCTCTTTTGGTGTCAAGGTTTATATTATAGCAGGAAATGTTTTTTCCAAATTGCACTGTGTTTAGATATGCTGGCAATAAAGCACCTGGCATCTGACTCTCTAGAAGCTTGATCTAGCCTGATGAGGCCAAGCTCAACCAAGTTCTCATTCTCACCTCTTCACAGATCCTCTCGATGCTAGCTGTGACACCTGGAGGGACCTCCATAGGTGAACATACAGATTATGGATCCATAAAGATGTCTATAGCTCCAGTGAGTTATTTGATTTATTTGGACACTAGTACTTTCAACTGTATATGAAGTTGGAAATCACATTTATCTTCAAGGGTCCTCAATTTTCCTACCAGCTCAGTGTATAGCACCTACTTCAATGTTTGATCCACGGTTAGTTCTCAAAAGTGCTAACAAAGCTAAGCAGAGCATCCTTCAAGGGTAGCCTGTGCCCTTCAGCCCTACACAATGGAAGAGATGGGCTCTAGACCAACTGCAGCCAAGCTCAGGCTGGACCAGGTGGCTGTGAGACCCCTCTAGTGCTCTGTTGGGAAATGAGAGCTACATTTGGAAACATAATCAAGAGACTTCCAATAAAAAGTTTTCTATACTTCAAAAAAAAAGTTACCAATTATTGTGTTAATGGCTTGTATACCACACTGTTTAATGATGGCACCCCTGAGTTCTACACTGAGGCACCCCTCTTTTGCCAGTCCTTTTGTAGCATTTTCCTCTAAGATGAAACATTTCTTCTTAGAGAGAAGATAGTTAAGACATAGGATGTTCTAATCAAACAATTGGTGAAACATTACATCCTCCAGGCAAGCTCACTGAAATTCGGGAAGTAAATTGACTCGGACGGACCAGCTTCAATAAGCTCCTCATTCTTCATGCCTATGTAAGCAGTAACAGTTACTGAGAGACACTGTGAGACCAGCCAGCTGCCTGGAAGGACACTTTCTAATCTGTCAAGCTGCCTGCAAGTCATGCAGTGTGCTTCAGGTGTGCAGCTTTTGTGAGCCAACCCCATACTCCTTTAAGTAACTATAGAAAGCTTGTTATTTTAGCAAGCTTGAGTTAGGTAGCTTCCTTATCTGTCATTGGTTCCATATCTGGGGTGAGTACATGTTTATTCACATTTCCCTAGGAAGAGTGTTGTCTAATATGGCTCCACAGTTTAGGTTAGTGTAGCATCCTACTTATCACTAGGATGTTTATAGGAGACAGAGTGACAAGGTACTGCTCGGCTATAGTCCTGAGCAGTCAACAAAGCTCTCAAGACGTCGGCAAAAGCTCTCTGCCTCGACAATTACAAGAAGGAAAGGGCTGCCAAGATTCCCTTAGCATTTGTTACCGAACTGACAGTGTTTCTTAATCACTGGCAATGAAGTTCTATTCTGCTTTCTCCTGCGCTGTGCTATTAGAGCACCTACTATGCCATAGATTCATCCCATCACACAGCACCCGTAATCCTAGCCACCTATGAGTGGAATCCCAGCGTCACAACAATCATGTCTCTGCACTAAAAGTCCATGCTTCAGACCACAGTACCCACGACATGCTAGTATTCATC